GCCCCGCCCCCCCCCCCCATCACTGAGCTGCCAAAACTGGGCCACAGCACGGAACAGGAGCTGGGTGAGGTGGGGAGGGCGGGGGGCAGGAGCCCTGGCACGGCAGCACCGCGGGGACGGGCGATGGTGGGTGACGAGGCGGGTGCAGGGGGGGGTGATGACCCCGGGGCTGACCCCCCCTCCCGCTCCCACCGCACCGGGCACGGCCCAAGCGGCAGCGACGCTCGCCCGGGTGTCAAACCCGGTGGCAGCGGCACCCGCAGGCCCCGGGGATCCCGGTGGGGACACGGGCGGGGGGCCAGAACTGCCCCGGGAGCCAGGACGGGGGGCACAGAGCTCCGGGCCGGGGGGGGCTGTCGGTGCCGTGCAGCCGGTGCCGTTCCCCGGGCAGGGAGCTCGGGCCCCCTCCGGCCCGGTGGCACCGGGAGGCCCCGGGAGCGTGACGCGACCTGATTAAAAAGGACGTTTCAAAAACAACGACGCGCAACAACCGGCTGCCATTTCCCGGCCACTTCCTGCGGGGACGGACACGGGGGGGACACGGCACCCCCCGCGCTCGGCGGGGACCCCCCGGTTCCTGCGGCGGGGACATCCCCGGAGCCCCCCCGCCGGGGCCCGGGGGGATGGGGGGGCTCCCGCCGCCGCAGGGGGGTCCCGGTGCGGGCGGGTGCGGGAGGGGGGGACACGAACGGGCGGTGACGGAGGAGAGGAGGGTCCCCCCCGGGCCCCCGGGACGGGGATGCGGGAGAACCGCACCGGCCACCGGGGCCGGGGGCTCGGGCTGCCGGTGGGTCCGGGCCCTTGGCCGCCGCACCGGGAGGGGAGCGGGGGGGATCCGGTAACGCGGGGGGGGGCGGCGGAACCGGGATGCGCAGGAGGAAGTGGGGGAGAGGGACGGCGGCGTCTCACCGAGGTCAGGGAAGGGGAGCCAGGGGAGGTTTCGCCTCTCCCGGTGCCGCCGCCGCGGGGCCGCAACTGCCGCAACCGAATGATCCCCCCCCCCCCCCCCCCGTTGCCGGGCCGTTACCGCCCGCGACCCCCCGCCCCCCCCCCCCCCCCCCCCCGCACCCCCCCCGCACACCCCCCGCACCTGGCAGGCGGCGGCGCGGGCCCGGCTCAGGCGGCGCGGGGCGGGGGACGGCTCGGCATGGCGCGGCCCCTCCGCCGCACCGGGCCGGACCGGGGGCCCCCCTCCGCTCCGCTCCCGTTCCGCTCCGGTACCGGGGGGGGCCGGGCCGCGGAGCCGAACCTGCGGCCGCGGCAGGAAGCGCCCTCGCGCCGCCGGGGCGGTCCCGGGACCGCCCCCGTCCCGTCCCGGCCCCCCCCCCCCGGGGCACGTCACGGCGGCCGCAGTGGCGTCACCGGGAGCGGCGCCGCCGTGGCGTCACCGGGGGCGGGAGCGCGCGCCCACGTGGGAGGGGGATCCCCGCCCCCGGCGGGGTCAGGGCGGGGGGAATCCCCACGCGGGGCCGCCCCCCCCCCCCC